CACCTTGAATGTGATCCTCTCCTCTCCTCTCCTCTCTGACAGCTAAGCACCTTGTTTCCTCACTTCTGTTCTCAGACGTCACCTCTTAGAGGAGCTTTCGCTGACGAATCTATGTGAACTAGTGCCCCCTGCCCTGCCAGCACTCCATTCTCCTGATCCTGTCTTGTCTTTCCCATCTCCCCATCTGACCCATTTGATCTATTTGTTTGTTTCCTGGTTGACCCTGATAGAATGTAAGCTCTCTGAGGACAGGGACTTGTTTAGTTTATTGCTGTATTCCTGGCATTTCCAATAGTGCCTGGTCCACAGGAGGTATTCAATCTATATCTGTTGAATGAATGAATAAACTTCAGACTTACTACTGCCTTTCCCCCCGCCCACCCCCTGCCCCCAGACTAGATGGTATCTCCATTATATACTTTTAGCACCCTTTTATCTCCTTTGAAACATTTGGTGCAGTTGTAATCAGATAATTGTATAATGTAAGCTCTGCCCTGTTCACTCCTGTGTTTCCAGTCCCATAGTAGACACTACATATGTGTTGAGTGAATGAATGACAGCAGACCAGATGCTATTTGGAAAACTGACCAACCAGTTGGTGCTTGACAGAGGGACTGAGCCCTGGACGCAGGGATGCCTGGGGTTCAGCCCTGTCTCTCCTACTAACTCACTGTGCGACCTTCAGGTAGTGACTGTCCCTTTCTGTGTCACAGTGTCCCCAGATGAAAAATGAGGAGCAAGATCATGCTACTCAGGATAAGCCGTTAGGCCAGAAGGAACCCCTTGTTCCTAGAAACCAGCACCCCTTGATCCCACGCTGGCCCGTGGCATTGGACAGGCCAGTGGGGCTGTGTTGGAACCACTTGGTAAAAAGTTGGCCTTGGGACCTCTGCTGGCAGGCAGGGCTCCTGGCAGAGCCAGCCGGTCAGTGTCTTGGCTGAGTGAGTGAGTGGGCAGCAGGCAGAGGTGATTGATCTTCCCCCACTGGGCGGTCCTGTCCATAAATCTCACTGGCCCAGTGGAGTAGCCTAGGACGCAGGAGTCACAGACAGTACATTCCAGCTTGGCTGGCTCTGAGGGCTGCTTGCTATCCCTTCTAGCTCCCAGGCACAGGGTTCTCTGTGGGGGGTGAGCCCTATTCAATCTGACCATAGTTCCCAGCTCCCAGTCCTAGGAAACTTCTGTCTAGAGCATGCCAATCTTTCTCCAGTGGCATTGTTTTCTGCCAACCTGCCACATGCAAGTTCATGAATCTCTGAGTTCTGCTCACGGGCCCTTGTGAAGGGATTGCTAAGTGAAGGGGAGCCAGGTGGATGAAATGCTGAGTCTACGGGGAGACACAGCCCTCACCGTCCCACTTCCTCAGAGCTTGACTACAATACAAAAATCTCCTCTAATCTATTAACAGAGTCACAGAATCACAGGCTTCCAGAGCTGGAAGGGCCAGACCCCTTATGCAGATGCTCCTGTTGCATGACCTGGCTCTTTGCTTCTGCTTGCACGCCTCTGGGAGGGGGAGCTCACTCTCACTCTGGACTGGATAGCTTCAACTTCCCTGAGCTATGATGACATACAGAGATGAATCAGACCTAGGCTCTGTCCCCACAGCCAGAGGATAGAGAAAGAGAAGGATCCAACTAGCGCTGAAATGCTTTATTTACTCAAGCTTTCTCCGAGCTTCCACTAGCTGTCAGGCCAAAGGTGGGTACTGAATATACTGAGACTTACTTTCATAAAGTATTTTCTGGGTGTGTGCTCAGCCATGGCACTCTGTACCTGGGGAGACAGACAAGTGAGGGAACACAGAAATCAATACGTACTAGTAATTGCAGTTTGTGATAATGGCTGTAAAGAGATGAGCAGGGAGGACTCACAGAAGAAGTAACTTCAGATGGGGGAGAGGAGAGGGAAAAGAAAGCCTCTTGGTGAAAGTAACATTTAAGCAAGACTTGGAGGATCTGTTAGCATCTGTGGGGGGCGGGGGGAGGAGAATGGGACGGGAAGACCAGTGCAGGCAGAGGGAAGAGCAAGTGTGGAGAGGCCTGATGCAGGAGAGCGCTGGGCTACTGTTAGGACTGACAGGAGGCACGGGGGCCAGATGAGGCTGGAGAGGAAGGTAAGGGCAGGTTGTGGGGTCTTCAGACCCAGACTAAGGAGTTTGCATATTATCTTAAGAGCTATTGGAAGCCCTAAAGGGGTTTAAGCAGGATCTCTTTGAAGGAATAAAGCAAAGTCTCCAGGTGCTCTTAGGCTTGCAGCAAAGACATTAATGAGACAAAATATTATAAGAATGAGCAAGAAAAGCTTTTCTTTTCGTGCCCTCAGCACCCTTCTTGAATGTACTATCTATCCTGCTTTCTCTTGCTACAACCAGTCTGGGATGGAGCTGGACTCTGCCACCTGCTGGCAACAACTGGAATGTCAGGCAGGATGAGGTGGGCAGAAAGGTGACTGGGGGAACAATCCAGGGCCCACTTGGGCTTTTCTGAAGGGTAAGCACACAAGGATGAGCTCCATGGAGGGCCTAAGGGAGCCTGATGATTCAGGATGGCAGATGATTCAGGAGGGCTGGGAACAGGAGGAAGGAACTGAGCATTGATGGAGCAGCAGCTCAGAGATGAGGACACAGGGTCCACCCTTATGGGGTGCTGAGGTCTGAGTCCAGATTTTGGCTCCAAGCCAGACCAGTAGGGGGGCCCAACCTGTTGCCATGGGGACCCAGGGCTGTGTCCATACAGATGGGGGGAGATGACCCCCCTCAGCTGTATGAGGACACCCAGAGAGCAGGGACCAGCCTCAAAGCCAGTGTCCACCCACACTCCCCTTTCCGGAACAACTTGTTTTGCTCTAAAGCTTGGGACTTTGACCTGGGAGGTGTGTTTTCGTCCTGTTGGTCACCTGATGTCCTTCCTGCTTATCCCACTCTCCACCCCACCCCCACCCACCCCTGTCCCCCAAAGCATGGCCCAGGGAATCCTTGTACTTCCCCAGGCTTTTTAGGGAAGTGGGGGTGCTGCTCAGGTAAGGGAGGAAGGACCTGGGACTTGGGGACTGATGGGAGAGGCTGGGCTGCTCTTATGAGTCGCTGGCTGGAGGGGCCTCACAGCAGCGACTTCCCTGTCCACGTCGTTTTGGATTCTCCTTTCTGGGTTTCTGGGACACCCCTTCCTCTGGGGTTTCCTCCTCCTGCTTTATCCTGACTCCTCTTTCATGAAAGACCCTTCTGTGTTGGGGCTGTGTCCTGGCTTCTCACTGCTTCCCCCACCCCACACACACAGCCTGGCAGACAGGCACTCTCATGTCTCAGTTACCCCTGCTGTACCACAGATGGCTCCTGGATCTAACTCTCTATTCCTGGGATCTGACTGCCCTCTGCACCTTTTCCTCTGAGGGCCAACAGGCACCACAAGCTCATCATTCCTCCCCACGTCCCAAAGCCTTGTCCTGGGCACCACCTTTCACCAGCGACCCAAGCCAGAAGCCAGGAGCCACCTCAGCTCCTCCCTGTTTCCACCCACTCCCGCTAGTCACCATGTTCCAGCAGCCACGGCCCCTCATAAGCAGGGCTTAGATCTATTCCTACTGCCCCTCTCTGGTGCAGGCCACAGCCCTGGCTGTGTGGCTGTTGTACAGCCTCCCATGTTCTCCCTTTCTCCAGTCTTTGCGTTCCCCTTTCCTTCACCACTCTCTGTCCAGAGGTGTTTTCAAAAGCAAACCTGACGGGACGCCCCTGCTTGAAACCCTCGAAGAAGGCATTGTGGATGTTTGTTAAATGCAACCCCATTCCTGGCATTCCAGGCAGTGAACCTGTGGCTGTTCATTAACATGCATGGTGCTGGTTCTAGACAAACTTTGTGCCAGAAGATTCTGAGGACACCAAGCTGGGATGGGGAGGCAGAGCAGGATATCCATGTATGGAGGGGCCACTAGACTGTAAGCCAAGCCTCTTGGATCACCTTGAGACACCCCATCTTTGGATGGAAATGGGCCCACTGCACTGCCGTGTGCACACCCACACCCATGCAATTGGGGAAGCTGGGACGAAGCGTAAAGTCTGAGTGTCAGCCCCAGAAGACCTGTCCTGCAGGAGAAAGGGCTGCCCTGCAGGAGAAAGAGCAGCAGTCTGGTGGCTTCTGGCCAGGGAAGCTGTGGAGGGGTTTCTAGCTCATGCTCTGGCTTCTGGGGACCCTCCACCTCTGAGACTTTGCCCCTGGCTGCTGGCTCCTTCTTTCTTGGTGTCTCTGGAGCTGGACTCTCTGCATCTCTGGCTTCCCCTAGTCCCGGGGCATAGGGGGCTAGGAGACCCAGCATAACCTTGGCCCCAGGCCTCGACAGGCACTTGGGTCATTCTCAGTTCCTGAGCTGGGGCCTGATGAACTCCATGTGATTTTGAGGGCTGAGGCTCCGGGGTCCAGAGCCCCAGATTGGACCTTGACACCTGAGGGTGTCCTTCCTTTGTCCTCCACAGCTCAGCTGTGTCCCCCCACTAGTCTCCCTGTGATAGGTGCAAATGGGCCAGATGTATGTGGAGAGACTTCTAACCAAGCCCAGATCTTGTTCCAGGGAAGCTCCACCCAGATCCCAGGAACCACATCTGGGGCCAAGAGGAAGAGCTGAGCTGAGCCAGGTCAGTGGGGCTGGGTAGAGAAGCCCGGGGCCTGGGAACCTTAGGCCCTCTGTGGTGACCCCCACGGGAGAGGGTGGATTTAGAAAGCTACTGTGCAGCACCGGGCAAGCGCAGAGGGACAGAAGCCAGGACTGTGACTCAGGACTGTGTCCCAGGACTGGGTCTGGGCTGAGTAGGGACAGGTGAGAGGAGAACAGGAAATAGGCTAGGCTCTGCGGGAGGGGTAGCTTTGACCTTTCCCTGGCCTCTGAGGTTTACCCCACTCTTCCCCAGCCAACCAGCAAATTTCTTAATCCTCCTGTCTGCCTTCCAAAGGGCCCCACCCAATGGGCTCATTCAGGGTAGAAGCAATAATGTGTCACTCTCTTCCCAGAGCCCAGCCTTCCTGCCAGGAAGGGGGAGCTGATGTAAAAACTCCGGGGAGGCCTTGGGCTTGGAGGTGAGGTCCCAACTCTCCCCACATCCCCTAGTCCGTAGACCCACTTCCTTAGCCAGACTCTGAAAGGTGACCTCACATGCCAGCTCCCGTGGGCTGGGCACTCGCCAGGGAGGCCAGGCCTGGCAGCTCATTACCATGGGAGGGAGGGCAGTTTCTCTGCACTTCCCTCCTCCTCCCACTTGTCTTCTTCCTTACCAGCTCCTCTCCTCCCGGGCCAGACTGCTGGGCTACGCTCTGGCTGATCTCAGCACGTACCCACAGACCTCACAGATTCCAGGAGCCCAGAGGAGGCCTGGGAGCTGCCTGCAGCCATGTCAGCCCTCAGCCTGCTCATTCTGGGCCTGCTCTCCGCGGTGCCACCTGCCAGCTGTCAACAAGGTGAGCACAGGACCGGCCCGCGGTGGCTGTGGTGCGGAGGGCTGGGCTGGGTGCTGGTACCAGGTGTGGATGAGGGGTGTCTCCTGGCCTCTGTCACCACCCTTGACACCTGCAGCTCCGACAGGGGAGCAGAGACTGGAGTCATGGAGGAACCTCCAAAGGCCGAGAACTCGGAGCCAGATTTCTGCCTGAGACTCTTTTCCATGAGTGGGAAGTGCAGGCAACAGGGGAAATGTTGGGTCTAGGATGGGGGAGAGGAGAAGCAAGCTCTAGGAGCAG